TCTTTTTTCAAAATAATAATAATAATACCATCTCTTTTCAAAGGATGGTTCGCCACTGATTCGAACAATATGAAGGCCTATAAAAGACAACCTAATTAATTAGACGTTTTTCAAGGCGGCATTTACATGCACGCAGAAATAGTCCTTTCTAATATATAGTATAGTAGCTTAATATGAATTTTTTTATACCTAATCATGCTGAAAAATCAGAAAAAACACGTAAAAGTAGCCTGTCAAAGTCAAATTTGTTAAAAATAGCTCGTGCGCATAGATCAACTTGCACTACACTGGTTACTGGTAGGGAGCGCTCCCCGAATGGGCCTGCGAATCCGGATATAGTCGGACTCCAATAGGGATATCGAACATCGGGTGAGAAACCAACAAAAAAAAACTTGCAATACACTGGGGCATGGCTAGACGGTAATGTACGGGTTCAACTGAAACTTAGTTCTTTACTCCAATCTTTTAATTATTTGTACTAATAAATCCTTTTTTTTTTTAATGTACCTGAATTAAATTTAAAATTCAATTACTAACATCTGATGTTGGTAAGTTCAAATTCCGGCTCCATGATATGACCAATACATATTTAAATATGCTTATCCAACGTACAACATCTCCGGTGTAATTCCACAGGTTGAGTTTGGGGAAGATAATGTGTATGTAAACTTTACCCATATCTTGTGAAGGTAGAGGGTTATTCCCATTGAACCCTCGACTCAAGGAAACCAAAATCACAATAATGTTGAAAGGAAATATGGTAGTGGAGAAGCCTTATAGAAGTAAGAAGTAATAACAACAAGGTAATAACATAATCGAAACAAAAGAAATAACAGATAGTACTAAAAATTTAAGGATAAGAAAATACAATAGAAGACTATTAATACTACTAGAATGGAAAAATAAATATGCTCAACTATATGGTAACCTTCTACCCTAATTTTCAACCCCCACACTCCTATTTTATATATATATATATATATATATATATATAAAACTAATTTTCGTACAACCTTACTTTTACTTACCGATCACGGATCACTACTTTTAGTTCTTTCTAAAAGTAAGCAGCCTAGTTGCATTTGTACCTAACCATTTTGAAAATCAGAAAAGACACGTAAAAGTGATCTCTCTCTATATAGTATATATTATCCAACATGTAAAATTCTTATACATATTGACTTATTATCCAATTACTTTACGTATGTAGATGAATTTTTCGTATTAAGTTAAATTGGAATATTTTTACTGTGTATTTCGAATAACCAACAGAAGTTATGTGAGAATTGTCTATATTCGACATGTGAATTTTTGTGGATCGAAAAATATTGAAGAACGTAAGATTTTTGGTCTACAAGTTATCCACTTGTCAAAATACGCAACCTGATACAACTTGTTTGTTGTGTAAGGAATAGCGTAAAATTCTCGTCAAATTCTGATAAGCATTAATTAGTACCAAAAATGTCCAATATATATTTGACGGTCTTATACTCTATATAATTATCTTATTTCCTTTGTGGTGACATGCACGACTTAGCTATGTATGTCAAAGGATTATCAGCTAAACATCTTTTGTCGGGTATATTGTATATACGTAGGTTAAATAATAGTTTCTATATGCATATATCAATTTAAAAAATAAGAAATTTCTGATTTTACTATTGCTAACATGAGCAAGTGATGACACCAATATAATGAACACCACTGGCTAATAGTTTTAGCTAGCTATATCCATCTAATTGGCAATAAATTAGAAAAAACATACGGCAATGTGTCATCAACTATAAGGCACAGAAGCGGACCTGCCCTTAGGGTAAAGGGTTACCGACCCCGATAATTTTAGAAAAAATATATGTACATATGTGTATATATTTTAAATAACAAATATATATTTTTATTGGCGCCCTAACACTTAAAGTTGTGTTGGTCGATTTGGGGGTTACAACTTAATTTTAGTACATTGTCTAAATTCGATTCTTATTCCATCATTTGCTGAAATCCTCATTTGACAGTGATGCCCTCGCCACTTTCATCTTGGTCTGCCTCTGCAGTGGTAGAGCCACATTGAACCAAAGGGTGTCAAGCGATGCCCCTTTGTCGGAAAACTACATTATATTGCTAGACAATTTTTTTTATTGTATATTTACTATACGTTGACTCTCCTTAATTTTTCGATATATCTAATTATTTATATTTTAATATCCCTTAATGCAAATTTTGGCTCCGCCTATTAATTAACACATATTATGTGACTCTATCTTCTTTAGTTAATTCCTTTTGAAAGAAGGTGGATATCATTGTAAGAACCGAACTTCTCATTGACGTTTGAAGTTCCCAAGGGTATATTCATTTTAAAGTGTGCAGTGTTACTCCCTGGGACAATATAAGTGGATTCAGAATTTAAATATTACAAGATCGAGTTCGAAATTCTATCACAACTCATTCTATTTATTGGTACGAAATTTATTATTTTTCTACTTATTTAGTGAAAATTTTACTATAAAATATTATGTCAAAATTGTTGAATTCAAATAAACTGGTAACTTATGTTCTATGTCCGCCTCTGTTTGACGACACCATTGAAGGGATATAAAAAAAACGTTGTTGGTCACGATCAGTTTGTAACTTTGTATATATGAAACCTAATCAAGTGATTAGCAAGTAAACGACTAATTAACTTCCGTACTAATATAATCCATATTATAATCTCCCTCTCAACATCTATCAGTTCACTTTTATATTTAGTATTGCCCCAAGTGGATAAAAGTGCTCTTTTTAAATTATTTTGTCTATGCAAGCTTTTTTAACTTTAAGTACTTGTTTGATTACTAGGATTATAATAGTAATAATTCCAGTATAAAATTTATGATTTCTTTATACCTTATTTGGTTGTATTTTTATTTTAAAAATATGTAATACTGGTGTAATTTTATATTCAAATCTTGGTATAATTTTATCCCTCACGGTAAACACTTGTCTACATTCGATATATCAAACCAACTAATTTATCCTTAGCACTTAAAAATTAAAGTGAGAATACATATCATTCAATCATGATTAAATGATAAAAATTACATGTCTTATCTTTACATTCACTGATTTGATAAAAATATCGAATGAAGGTAAAGTTTTACCGTTCCTGCATTATAGCCCGACATATTTTGTTTGCGAACCAAATAACCCCTATATATATATA